TGGGTTTATTATATTATATTATATTAGAATTAAAAAAAAAAAAAAAACCTGATTTTTGAAGTTTCAAACTATAAACCTTATTTTTGAATTGGTGTAAAGAATACACCTTATTTATGAATTTTTCCCATAAAGAAGTTATGCACTGTTTGGTGCACATTATCAACCAAAAAATGCAATTTTTTTTTTATGTGATGAGAAATATATAGTTGAAAACGAAAGAAATGTTATTGATGTGATGAAAAATATTATTTTATTGAAAAATGTGTGGTTGAAAACGAGTAGAAGAATGAGAATAAAAAAAATAATGTGACTCAAATATGGGCATATTTGAATATCAATATGAATACAAATTTATAGATTCAATCGAAATTAAATATGGGAAATGTTAGGGATACATTGGGGGTGACATAAAGAATAATATAATGTGAGTGAGGTGGGTCCCATGCTACAGTATCGTGGGCCCTACCCCTACTCACATTATGTCATCTTTTATATCAACCCCAATGTACAAGTAGATTGATCCATTAAATATTAGTTTTAATAACATACTTATAATATTTTTATTATTAATCACATATTTCGTGGAATTTATTACTATTTCTCCAGTTGATCAATCATAAACTATTACTTGAATTTATGGCCCGTTTGATTGCAAAAATGGAATTGAGTGGAAAGAAAATGAATTCAAGGGAATTGAATTGTCTAGAACTTGGTTTACTAGAAATTTTCAATTAATTGTGTTTGATTGATATAAGTTTCCACCTGGAAAGTATTGAAATTTTGGTTCTTTTGTTATTCGTTTAACTTTGTTTTTCATGAAAATTGTCCATTAAAAATATATAATTTGTTAAAATTGAGAATATAATTTGTTTCTATTATTAATTTTTTTTTTTCAAAAGAGGTTGCATAGAAAAGCTTTTCTCACCAAACCCATGAGAAAATCTTTTTCCTCAAAAATCAAGAAAATGTGGAAAATTAATTTCATAGAAAATTTAGTCAATCAACACATGTAAAAATGTGGAAATGAAATTTAATTTCTATCTTTCATGAAAAAGAAAGCCAAATGAAATGAGCCTCAGTGGTATAACTGAAATAATATCTCAAATTAAGAGCTTGTTTAGGCCTTATTTTTTAAATAATGATATTCATTCCTACTGGGGTTGAGTCTCAATTTATGTGGCAATTATATGATATTAAATGATAGATTCAATTAAATGAGTCATGTGACTTTAAATTTAAATGAATCTATCATTTATTGTCATGTAAATGTCAGATAGATTGGTGCTCAACTCCAGTGGGATGGATAGCATTACTTTTATTTATTTTTGTGTAGAATGCATTTTGAAATAATAAATTGATGGAAACTAAGTGATTAAAAAATAAGAATTTTTTTAAATTTGCGTGTAATATTATTTTATTAAAGGAAGGTATAAATAAATTCACTTTAGAAAAAATAGGATCGGACAAAAGCAAATATTTTTATCGGTCACCCAGATTTGAAATCTAGTGGCCGTTTGAATGCATCGCGTGACTTCGAACTTCAAAACCCTACTACCCCCACGGCCCACCCCTCTTCAATGCAATGCGTACAAAAACTCATCTTCCATTCAACAGTAAACATTATCGAGAGAGAAAACAGTTCAATTTCATAGAGAGAGAAAAACATTCGATTTCATAGAGAGATAAAGGAAAGTGTTTTAAGAAGAGAAAATGGCAGGTATGGTAATGGTAACAAGGGGTGGCGGATGTGGTGGCGGTGGCGAAGGAAATGGGAAGAGTTCAAAATCTGCTGCAACTGAGGAGCAAAATAATCAGGAACACCAGCAGCAGGTCTCTTTGCTGGATTTTCTTATATCAGCTTTAAGAAAATCCATGGTGTCTTGCCGGGTGGATTGGCAGGAAGAGATGATCTCCACCGTTCATCACATGGAAATCGGGTGGCCCACAAACGTCCAACACGTAACCCATGTCACTTTCGATCGATTTCATGGATTTTTGGGTCTCCCTCATGAGTTAGAAGTTGAAATCCCATGTAGAGCTCCCAGTGCCAGGTTTATCAAAAGGAATCAAAATCTCAGCTCCTTTTTTTTTTCCCCCATAAATTTCGTTTTCTTGATCTGGGTTTTGTTCTTTAACGTTGTTTGAAAATATTTGCTGTTTTCTTGCATGTTTGTCTACGTTCTAAAGTTTCTTTCTTTCTTTGTTTTTTTTTTGTGGGAAAAGCTCCCACAAAAGTTGCTTTTGAAACCCAGCGCAACGGCTCTTTGTAGGCCGACTTAAAATTCAGTTTTTCTGACCTGGGCTTTATCAAATGTTGTTTGAAAACATTAGCCGTTTTCTCTTGTGAGAGCTGTTTTAAATTTCAGTTTTTTTTTTATCTGAGCTTGCTCGTTAATGTTGTTTGTTAACATTTTCTGTTTTTATTTACTCGGCTGTCTAAAATTTCCTTCTTAATTTTTTTTTTCTTCTATCATGGTTTTGCTTTTTACTGTTGTTTGAAATCTAGCTGTTTTTTTTTTTTTTGGGATGTCTGAAATTTCAATTTCTTGATCTGGGTTTCTTCTGTTAGAGAACATTAGCTGTTTCTTGATCTGAGATTTGTTCCATTTTTTTTGTCTCGTGGGGTTGTCTTAAATTTCGATTTTTGGATCTGGGTTTTGTTCTTTAATGTTGTTTGAAAACATTTACTACTACCGTGTCTATTATTTGCTTAATTTCCTAGCATTCAACCCCAAATCATGCCCTAAAAAGGAACCTAATTACAAAATGATTCCTAAGTACAACTTAACATCCTCTCATGAGTTTAATGAATTAGTTTTCTGTCATTATCTTCAGCTGTTTCTCCTACCTTGTAAATGTAACATTAATATAGATTAGACTTGTCATTATTATGTGGCAACGTAGACTTTATAATATTACTAGTTTAGGCACGTGCAATGCACGTGCTGTATTTTCATTATGTATTTAATAGTGTGGATATACATGATTAAATATAGTAGAATTGTTATAATTTGATTATTGCTCGTGTGACGAGATGAAACCTGTAGAAGAAGCTATTGGTAAAAAAGTTTATAGAGAGCAAAAAGTAAA